TAAGTAGATATTGAACAAAAATAAAATATGCGAAAAATATTCATGAGATTCGTCGGACCTTGTTTCACAACTTAAGGGTTAGAATTCTCACAAAACTGCACTTATAAATTGTACACTGTCACAGGCTAGACCCGAACGATCGTACCTACAAGAAATTAATTATCAAATCATCCTGGGTGGATTTTCCTTAAATTCACAAACGCAAGACTCAGTTCACAAATCACATATCGTCCTCTACGAACACTCGCCTTTTCTCCATTTCTCCTGCCTGTGCCAAAGGATTCTTCCTCTAAATAAATCAGTACACACCGTGAACCTCATGAAACAGGTGTAGAGAAGTGAAATTCGATAAAATTGCCCAGGAATAAACGATGACACAATCCCCCCTGGCCAAGAACCGTCGCTAGGTATTTCACCGGAAATCACTTTGCCCAAGATCCTCGCCACGAGATCCATCCGGGGATGGCGCGACGGTTAACGTCGTGTAATCTCGAATTTTCCCTGATCGAAAGTTGTATCCTTTTCACGTCAAGCCGTCCACCCCCGGCCGAGAATAGGAGTCATCCATTTTCGGGTGACGCGATGCGTCAAGCGATGCCGCGTGATTTGACGGCGACCACGCTCGGGATAAAAGATCGAGAGACGATCCTTCTGCCTCGCCTGGCGAATAGGCCGGTTATTTGTGGGGAACGCCTCGAGAATCGAACGAAAACGTCGACTGGTCGAGAAAAACAAGACGATTTAGCGAATTCCAGGGAATTATTTAACACGTTGACTGTCAAATACGGGATAACTCACAATTAAAACATTGCAAAGAGGCTGGATTATTTAAATAATTTTACAAAATTTTTGCGTATAATTAAGATCCCAGTATAAGTTTTGTTAATAGAGGCTGTTGGTCGTGTTTCAAATTATACTGCAATATTAAATACTATGCAAAAATTTTGTAACTCTGGGAAAGGAGAGTGGGGGGGAGGGGCAAATTCAATTTTTTTTTCTCGCAGGGTGGGGCAAATGTTTTTCCCCTTGAGCCCACCCCTGGCTACGCCCATGGTAAACCGTGTATGAAAATTCCAATCCAACTGGATAGTAATTTGTTGGGTGTAAAATGTGGTTGATAATTTGTCGGAACTCGTATAGAACGACATACAACATCACTGTGATCGTACGGACACTAATCATCCGATGCTGGGGAAATTGTTCTCGGTAACCAAGACGTCTTCCTGTTCCAAAGACGACAAGATCTCATTCTCTAAATCCCTTTCTTAAATCCAGAATCGTGACAAATTTAAAACCTCAGCGACGTAATAAATCCCACGGCTTGCCGTTGGATTTCTCGGCTGCACAACCGTTCCGCGAAGAGAGCCGTGACACCTGTCTGGTCGGATCAGTTCCAGCCTCGATCGTTCCTAATTCCTCCCGAGCGATTCACCCGTCCCGTCTTAACGTTCTTTCTTTAATTGCTTCCGAGTTCCCGCCACGCTCTCGCTAATTCCTACAACGAGTATTTTTTTTAATTACTCGCGACTTGCCCCACCGAGACACTTTTTGCGTCGATCGCCAACGGTCGCAACGATGACAGCTTCGCCTCCGTATACAGTCCGATCTGTCCGACGACGTTCGAAGGAAATTAACTTTCGTTCTTTGTTTTGCGGGTGATACCGTCTACGGAAGTCGCGAGACACACGAATGTATAGAGGAATTGATTAATACTATTTTTGGAGAAGTAGTTTATATAGAGATTTTGTATCTAGAGGTGGTCTGTACAGAAATAGTCTATCTAGAGGTGGTTTATCTAGATATTGTGTATCTAGAGGTGGTCTGTACAGAAATAGTCTATCTAGAGGTGGTTTATCTAGATATTGTGTATCTAGAGGTGGTCTATACAGAACTAGTCTATCTAGAGGTGGTCTGTCTAGACGTGAGTCTATCCAGAGGTGTTCTATAGAGGTTAATATCTAGAGATGGTCTATCTAGAGGTAGTCTACCCAAAGGTGGTCTATCCAAAGGTAGTCCATCTAGAGGTTGGTATCTAGAGATGGTCTCTCCAAAGGTAGTATATCTAGAGGTCGTCCAACAAGAAGTGGTCTAAACAGCTTTAAACAAGTTATACCCAACCTTCCAGAAATTACAGAATAGTCGGCTATACAAGTACAATTAACACCGCTCAACAATAACCATACTAATGATCACCATTAACCTTAAACTATGCAACAAATAAACGGATGAAACACGTGTGAAATGACGAGCCTTCCATCCAAAGAACAATGGAACACGACCAACAAACCCGAGCCAATGGTCTTTCGGTTGATATCGAACTACATCTCTCCCATGCGTTTGATCGGATGTCTTTGACGGAAACCCTCATTAATGGACGACAATAACGGTTCGGATGGTAAAACGAAGCCAATATTCCGTGGCGAAACTTCCTCTTTAATCGAGTCCACCTATGTACCACATTATCCGACGTAAACACGAAGGTTTCCGGTTCCGGGGTCGCCGTGTGGGCTGTTCTACCCGCGTGGCGAACACACCCGAGACCGAAATCAACCGTGAAAACTAATAACGGTTTCGCGACGGATCGAATGGCCGTGTCGCACGGGGGCAGCTCTGGTTTTATCGACAATCATCTCCTTTACGTTTCTCCCGCGAATGGGCCAATAACCCGTCCACGGGACCGCCCCGGTCGTGTGGTTCCCGGCGGGTCGCCGGAAGAAATAAAAGCCCGGAAAACCCTTTGGGAAATAGCTCGGAAACGAATATCGCGCGGAAATACCATGTGTATGTTTACGTCTGTTTGCCCAAGGTCCCTTTTTTTTTCCCTGGGAAATCAAAGTTTATCATCGCGAATCGAAGTTATTCCCCACGAAATTGATCCCCGAACTGTCCAAAGCGGGAAAACAAACTCTGTCAGCTTCTGTCGGTTCTAGGACGGTTTCTTCGATCGAGAAACGGCGTGAATAATAGGCAGGAGTAAATTGCCGAACGAATTTCAACCACCGTACGGGTAATCAACGCGATAATTAGATCGACACGGAGTTCCCGAAACTTTCCGGATGCCTCGAGCGGGCCGGATAATCGTGTGGAACACACCCCAGTAAACGTTCGATCATCCGTGAGAGTAACTTCGATGTCCTCGGAAAATTTCCGGGCGTTTCTAGCTGCTTTCTCGGCTGACTGTTTTTCTAGTAGAGGGAAATACCGGCAAGTTTCTTCGCGAAAAACTGTCATTTTCACAGTGGACGAAATTTCTATAATAATATTACTATTTTTAATTTACAGAATGTTAAGTAATAGTACGATTAATGGATAGGTTAGTAATAATGACGGAAAGATAGAAAATCGGAAAGAATCCCAAGAACTGAAAAACCGACTTTTTTTCATAGTAAATCATAATGCTCTTATAGAAACTTCGCCCGCTGTATCTGACCAGATTATTTAGCAAAATGACAATTTTTAAATTGACATAAATGTATCACGAAAATATGATAGAAAGTAATGATATGAAAAATATCTAAATAGAAGTTGCATAGAAGTTCTGACAACTAATTTGTTTGTTCAGAAGTCTGCTAATGAATGTGCGTTTCACTGTATGTTTCTGACGGTTTCGTGAGAATATTCGAATATGTGGGAGTTGAATACAGTGTGGGAGTGGAATTTATAGAGGGAGTTGTGGAAAACGTTTGCGTTAATTAATGATAATTAAAATAAACACGAAAAGGGGAACGTGTCTGGTATCATTTGCACTAATGATTTTTGTCGTTTCTACTTTAATTGCTTCTGCAATCTGCACCATTCACATGTATTTGCGTTAATTGACGTATTTTTTCCAACAATCGATTACGTGGCTTGATAAACAGATTGATTTGACTCACCCGTGCTGAATTCTGCTCCGTTGCGCGTGGACGCAGCCTCCAGTGTCGCGATCTGCAACAAAGAAATTTTTTTCCTCGGTTAATCAAATCAGTCTCGCGACAATACCAGCAAACTCGCGAGAAACGTTATTGTATTCCCTAGATTGCACAGAAGAAATCAACGTCAAGGGGAAAACAGATTAACCTCCGACAAGTCTGAAATGAATTATGAAATCCTTTCTTAGTTGAACGACGAATACTCAGTTGCATCGCGGGCTATGATTTATCGCAGGCAACGGAAGTGATTTATTCTTCCTTTCTGCATTTCAATATCAACCGTAACAACAACGTAACAATAATTTTATGCTTCGTATTTCCCTTCGAACTACTTGGACTATTCCCATATAACACATGACGCCTTAATGGCGTCTTTAAGCCATGTGCTATCTGGGATCGTACAAAGTGAAGGAATAATTAGGAATAATGAATAAATTAATGATTGTTCCTGCTGATTTTTAAAAACATAAATAGTACTGTAATTCATTGTAGAATCATATTAAATACATTTTTCTGTTAAAGATCAAGGACTTACGATCGCAGTGATCAAATTCGCTCAAGATAAAAAAAAAATCGTAATCATAGTCGTGAATGAAATTAAATCACGACCGTGATCGTGATTCGTCGATCACTGTGATAAATCACCGTCAGTGATTTTGCACACCGTCTCGAATCAAGATCATCCGATCTGGATTGTTCGTTCGAACAGTACCAGGCGGGAAATTCGAGCGAGACGAACGAGGGCCTCGGTCGGTACAGAACAAGGGCAGTTAAAAAATTCGCGGCAATTATCCTGCGGTCTAATTAATTTTAATTAGCGTGAACATTAAATGTCCGGCCACACATACCAGTCGGGAAATACCGACGGAAACGAGCAAGATAATAAACGGGACCGCCGGGGGCGCGTGTATTACACTCCACGCCGCTTGATGCCATTCAATCAATTATCCCGCAAATCCTTGCATACGGTGTAATCACACCACTGCCCCCGTTGGACGTAATACCGCGGCCCTGTGTGTTTTTGCCGCCTTGGACGGTCATTTCTGATCCGTTTCGAAGCGAAATGAAATTTTCCATTCCGTTGCGCAGGTGGTGGTGCCGAAGAGGGCGGCCCTATTGTTCGACCAGCTGATGGTCGCGTTGCAGAAGGTGGTCGACAACCAGAATCGAGGCCCCGGCGAATTCGGGGCCAGTAGACCGTACACGAGATCCTCCGGGTCCCATCCACCGGCGGTGGACACGCAGCAGATCGTTGCCTCGGGGGACGAGCAAACGGTGAAGGTCTTATCGCGAATAACTACACCAAGCTTCCCTGTTTATACATATTCAGGGTAAACGTCCCAATTACTGCCCAGTATCCCTAATACCGCGACTTTATTTATTTTAATTAATAATAATAATGTATGTTTCTTTTGCGGGGAATCCCTTTTGTTACCAGAGAAGATACAGAATATACGGTACCCAGATAGCACACAGACGGCTTAAGACCGCTTAATGAAAACTTAAAGATGCCTCAGACCTGAAATAGCCGTAAAATGGGCGTCCTCAAGGCGTCATACAATCGTACGGTGGCAGTAATTAGGACATCTATCCAAGTTTCATGTTCGATACAGACGCGTCAGGAGCAACAATCGATTCCGATCGAACACGGAAATGTGATTGTAACGATCGATTATTCTCTTCCAGATGGACCTCCAACGACGCGGCCAGTCGAAAGGACGGGTCTACTGGCGGTGCTACTTCAACGCCGTGACGTGCTTCAAGAGAAAGTGATAATGTGACATGGCCGTGACCAGTCTCCGCCTCGACAACACTTCACGACACCAGACAGTTACCACGAACGAATAATAAATCGCGAAACCATTTAAAACTAGGCCCTAAATACATCGAGATAACGCTAACGACGATGATCCTGCCCCGTTTTTCCTCGCGAGTCGAGAACCCCAAGAAACCCCTTGTCCAACCCCCAGCTGCTTCTATCCCCTATTACGAGGGCACCATCTACGAAACACTGTGTCAACTGTTCTTGTCTTTCTCTCTCTCTTTCACTCTCTGGCTTATATAAAACGATCGGCATGCTAGAATCGATTAAACGTACCTACTCAAAAGCGTACCAAGCAAGACGAAAACGAAATTTTTGCTGCTTCAATTGGTATTTTATAAATTTCAAGCGATCCTCTGACCCGCGCCCGACAAACACCATAATCCTTGATCGATTCCCCCATTCATTCTTTCCCGGAGTATTCGATAAAGTTACTGATTGCAGGTAAGTTGGTCGGGGAGACGTTCTCGTTTCCGTGGGTTCTCCCCCGAATCATTCCCTAAATCCCCCCCAAAGTTCTCCGGAAACAACGCGCGATCGATGTCCACTCAGACACACACATACACACACATGCTGGTCTCTTGGTATTATTATAACGAATAAAGTGGTTATTCAGATTACACGATTGTGTACGAAGGACGGTGCTTTTATTCGAGTCGATCGTCGGGGTCCAACGAGTACAACAAATAAAAGGCTGCTGTTCGAGAACTCGCGACTTCCAGGCCCTTTCGAGAACTTGTAGCTGCGCTCTTCCAATCAGCATTCGTAACACGATATTCTTATGATTATAAAAAAAAAACGAGGAATCGGTACTTCTTGTACCACTTGTTTGATGGCAATTTCCGAATTCCATATACGATAAATCTATCAGAGCCTGCGGTACTAACTGGATTCGCGCTCTTTCATCGCCACGGACAGCCTTTCCAGGCACAACAGCAATTCGCAGTGCTTCGTGTGCGGGAACATATCAACGGCAACAGCCTTGACAGGCACCAAAGGTTCGCCGACGTATTGCTTCGATGGAGGTCTGGCCAGATCGACCAGATTCCTCGCGGCAGCTTTCGGATCGCAGGACACGTAGACCAGCCTAGACAATTTTCTCGCTTTCCGTAGAGTCAACAGAGCTCGATGATCTGGAATATTTCAGAGTATAGATTGACGATTCTCGCTTCGAGACGATTTTGCTTGAAACGTTGTCTTACGAAGTCCAGCTCGAGGAGGATCCACGACAGCGACGATGTCTTGTTTCGTGGCTCTACGAATCACCGGGTACAAGATATCCTCTGCTTTCCCGACGAAAAACTCGCAGTTTGTCACGTTGTTCGCGACCGCGTTCTCCCTCGCATCTTTGATTGCGTCCTCCACCAGCTCCAAACCGAACACCTCGCCGCAGTGCTAAAAAAATTCGCGTTTTATTTCATGTTTCGGTTGCTACGGAAGAATCGTCATACCTTGGAGAACACAAGACCGATCGTTCCTGTGCCGCAACAGATGTCGAGTAACGCAGTGTCCGAGCTAGGTTTCGCCAAATCGATCGCTGCTTTGTAAAGCACTTCGGCGCCCAACGTGTTCACTTGGAAGAACGCCTGCGGAGACACACGGAACTTCATGCCTAGCAGAGTCTCCTCTATGTACTTCGAGCCGGCGATGTGAGAAATGTTGTCACCGGTCTCCCCGTCGACGCTTCTGAATGGAGAATATGGAGACAGATAGATTCGAAGCCTCCTTCACGCCTGAATTTCATTTTTCTTTATTACTTTTTATTCATCACTTGGAAATGTAAGGATGTGACGCCTGCTTCCGCGCCATTTCCAGTTTCGAAAAAGTCCTTCAATTGCGACTTCAATTCCTCCAATTTGTCCGAGGGTAAATCTTGAGGATGGATCCCAACCATTACCATCAGATCCCCGGAAAGCGTAGCTCTGGCGGTAACTTGCCGCCAGTGACCGCTGTGATCGACCGGTTGGAACGGTTTCAGATCGGAATTCCGAATGAATTCTTCCAGTACCTGAAATGTTCTTATGCAAAAGCTAATCTATGACAGGAAACGAGCAGAAAGGACTTCTGTGGTACTCACTTTGACCACGGTTTTCATTTTACTAGGAATGTGACAGAGATCGTCTATCGGACCAACCGCTGTAGAACCAGCGGCGTAACTGGACAGCCTGAATCCTATTACAGCTTTGTCTTCGTTATTGCTTCTACCTGTATCATGATAATGTTTCGTTCGTTTACATTCTTTGAACTTATTATCGAAACAAGCAAATTCATTGGGAAATTACCAACTGTGAATTCACACTTGTTTCTGTATTCCGTGGTCTTCTCTGTGCTAAGAATTGGAAGGAGTTCACAAGGTATTCCTTGATACTTGTCCTTCTGGTAATTCAACCAATCTAGCAGATCACCTTTACTCTCTCTTAACATTTGCTTGCAAATATTGGTCAGAATAGATTTCATTTCCTTTTGCTTCAGCTCCAACTAAAAGCACGGTACAATGTTCTTATCCTTTATATTCCTGTTTGTACGAATTATGGACGCTTGTCTTACTTGATCGGGATAAGGTGTATTCCACAGAGGTATGGTAGTGGATTTAACTTTATCTTCGATAGAAATATGTTCATTGTCATCTGTTTTCAAACGCTTGTTTGCATTTTCCTCTAATTTTCGCTTTACAAATGGATCCGGGGCTGGTTTAGCAATCTATGGTCCAGAGGATGAAAGGTTTTATTATTATAGATTACTAAGAGCTGAAGAGGGAGGTATACCTGGGCAGTAAGTTTAGAGTTTTTCCATAGAGTTCCATTCAATTTTTCTATAGCCTTCTGGCGGTTCTCTTCGCTTCTGAAAGACACATAGAGCCAGCCACTGCCCTTTCTTGGTGGCTTCACCTTGCATGTCTGCAGCTCAAGCTTCTCGTTCAGAAGCTTTTTGAATTCACCTATCCCATAATATTTTGGTAAACCGCGGATCTCAATTTTGTACTTCTCTGACGTGAAATCGTCTCTGTCGAGGTACGCGTAGGGATTCTTCTCCGCCTCCGTGGATTCATTGGAAGTCATTCTTTCGGAATTTTATTTCAACTGTAGACTACACGATTCACTTATAAAACCATGCTAGACTTTGCTAATAAAGGAATATACTCTGATTGAGTTCACGTGTTTTTGTATCTCTCTATCAAAACACCACGTGTTATATTGTTGCGTCGGGTTAGGTTCGGGAATCGGTCCCAACCTGCCTTGCACCCATGCAATTGCTGCAAAAATGCTAAGAAATTTTGCAAGCTGAAAATAATCGACGAATCTAACATACAACAAATCTGATAATAGCATTCCGTTGTAACGCCGATGTGTATAAATGAAGGTACATACGAATAATGGGAATTTCGATTTCTTTATGAAAACTTTGACTGTTTTTTACGGACCGTAAAACGATATACTATTCTCAGAGAACATTTATTTAAATTTGACGTTTATTTAAATGTATAATGATATTTATTACCAAACTCTATTCATAAAGCTTTGTAGTAATATTTTTTTTTTTTGTTTTATAGAAACGTCATTACTTTTTATGTAACTTGCAATGGCTCAACAAGCAAAAAGTTGTTACTTAAAGAGCAATGATAAGGCATTAGTGACAGTATACTTGCCACATCAGAAACCAGTCATTATAGGACGTTGTCCAGAGACAAACATTACAGATACTCAGTGCTCTAGACAACAAGGTTAATTTTTCAACGCTTATTCGTATAAGATAATCAACCAATATATTTTATATACATTCTGCGTACTATGTAATTCTGTTTATTCTTTGTAGTGCAATTGTGTGCAGATTACCAAGAGTACAAAGTCTTTATTCAGCAGCTTGGCAAGAGACCTTGTGGGTTCAATGGCTTCAAGACACGTAAAGATGTTAAGTTCATAGGGAATCATGAAGACTGTTTAGAAATTTTATACGGTAAACATACCTATCAAATTGAATTCAATCCTCCTCCCCCGAAAACCTTCCTACCTGAGAAAAGACCTAGAGATACAAATGTAAGCACAGAAGATGAATATTCTTGCAAAGTAGCAAAAGTCGCAGAAAATAATGTAAAGCATAGTAGTCCTAAGAAAGAAGAGCAAGAGGAAGAAACAAAGAAAGGAAAAAACCAAACAAAAAGTCCTGAGGGCATTTTGAAATTCCTAAAAAAAGGTGACATGAGTTCAGGTCAGTCAGAACAAAAAGGTACCTCAATAAATTTAGATGAACACAGTTCATGGGAAAGTAAAGATAGTGGAGCATTGTTAATGTATACAACACAAGGTGTAGAAGGTCGCTCGAAGGTAGATAAGGGAAAATTGTACTTGAAAAATTTGTGCAAGGATTAATGGAATGCATTTACTTTTAGATAGCTGCATACGATATGGATGGAACACTGATAACAACACGTTCTGGCTTGGTGTTTCCAAAAGATTATGATGACTGGCAGCTCATATATCCTGAGGTGTCAGGGAAATTAAAAAAACTCCATGGTAGTGGCTATAAAATAGTAATTTTCACTAATCAAGGAAGTCTTGGATCTGGAAAGCTGAGCGCTAAGTTATTCAAAAATAAAATAAAACATGTAGCACAACGAATTGGTGTGCCAATGCAGGTATACTTTCTACTTTCAATAGACTACAGCACAGAAAATTGTTTTGTACATATTAATTTGTCCATAGATTTTTATAGCTACTGGAAGTAGCATTTATAGGAAGCCAGCGATTGGTATGTGGCAGAAATTGGTAGAAGTAGGTATCCAAGTATTTTACGAACTACTTTCTATATTTAGAAAGAAACCGACACCAAAAACTTTCTGTTGAAGAACAACGATTCCGTATCTATCGACGAAGACAGTTCATTTTACGTCGGAGATGCAGCAGGACGACCTAAAAATTGGGCTCCAAAAAAGAAGAAAGATCACTCACTGGCCGATAGATTGTTAGCTCTGAATTTAGGCTTGAAATTTTATACCCCAGAAGAACACTTCCTTGGACACAAAGAAGCACCTTATGTATTGCCCACGTTTAATCCAAAGAACTTGCCGACAGTTGATATAAGCATAGGAGCTAACGTGACTTCAAGTATTCAAGAGGTACTCAAAATAGCGCCAATCGATATAGGATTTATAAATCTGCCGCGATTAACTGGGTTACATTTTTAGATAGTTCTGATGGTGGGATGTCCAGCTTCTGGCAAGTCTCATTTTGTCAAGAATCATCTAAAACACTATGGATATGTGAACAGAGATACTCTTAGAAGCTGGCAGAAATGCATCAGTGTAATGGAGGAACATCTAGCTGAAAAGAAGAGCGTGGTCGTGGATAATACTAATCCAGACCCTTCATCTAGAAAACGCTACATAGAAGTGGCAAAGAAACATGGGGTTCCTGTGCGTTGTTTCGTCATGACGACGACCTTTGAACATGCCAAACACAACAACAAGGTAACTGAACGCCAATTGTTAAACATATGTAGTAGTAACTGTGAAGCAAATTGTTTATCAAATTCTGTGTTTCAGTTTCGAGAATTAACGGATCCTAGTCATGTTAAAATTACCGAAGTGATTATTAACTCTTTCCTGTAAGTAGTACAAACCTGTACAACTCATTGTACCTCATTATGAATTCAATTCGATATGTATTTTTCCAGGAAGAATTATCAACCCCCAAGCCTAGACGAAGGTTTTACGGAAATCGTACAAATTAACTTCGTGGCAACGTTTGAGAATGATGAACACCGGCGATTTTATGAAATGTATTTGCTCGAACATTAAGAATGCTTGTCTTTTAAGTATAAGAACGTGATATATACATGTTTAAATTTAGCCGAGAATCTCTTATACAATATTTATTTCACAGCGATAGACGTAGTTCGACAAGAGAAGCTAGTCTTCATTCGAACTTTATTTAAAAGATATTGTAATGATGGTAACTTTTTAATCAAAAAAATTATGCGAAACGACTATTTACTTATTTCCTTTCATATTTGGAATTAGAAGAACATATGGCCACCCTCAATCCGGCAACTTATAATTTATAATACGTATTCTTTGTTACGCTTAATTGTACAAGTAGTAGCACAAGGTAATTAAAGACCCCCCTCCATCCACGTGCTTGTAACCTATTTTAAATCCTGGGAAACGTAACCTCCTTGAAACCGCATGGTGTGTTTCGTTGTGTCAATGCATAACGTAAACATTCGATATTCTTGTCAGTAGTAATTATGATTAATGCAAAATGTCACGGTTAATAGTGAAGAATTTGCCAAAAAGTGTGAGTTATAAATTTTAGCAGTATATTTGTGACGGTAAAATAAAAAAGAAACATTAATATACAATTAAAATTTATAGATTACAGATACAAAATTGAAGGAACTATTCAGTGAGAAGGGTTTGGTAACTGATGTGCAATTGAAATACACGAAAGATGGTGTGTTTCGACGATTTGCTTTCATTGGATTTAAAACAGAACAACAGGCTGTAACCGCAAAAGAATATTTCGATAAAACCTGCATTGATACTAGTAGAATATCTGTTGAACAGTGTGCAAGCCTAGGTATTCTAAAATGTTTGATAAATTGAGATTACCTAAATGTAGCAAGAATTTGTATTTATTGCATTTAATCTCATAGGGGATTCTTCTAAACCCAGGTCATGGAGTAAATATGCATCAGATAGTTTTAAACATGTTGCAACTAATAATGACTCCATTGAGTCAACAGGAAATGAACCTTTGGATAAAACAGCAATTGGAGAGAAGAAGAAGGATAAAGACAAAAAGAAAGATAAAGATAAAAAGAATAAAAAAGAACCAGTTGTGAATAATGAAGTTAAAGAGGCACTAAAAAAGGTATATTTACATGGTACTCTATTATTGTTTGAGATTAATGTTTGTAGTCTAATATATACGTTGAATTAATACAGCATAAAGATGACCCTCTGTTCATGGAGTTCCTTGAAAGTCATACAGCAAACAAGGCTGTATGGAACAATGACACAATATTAGCAGAGATATCAGAAAAGAAAGAGAGTGACAGTGACGATGACGATGAAGAAGTTAGCGACAAAGATGAAAGTTGCAAAGATAAAGAAAAAGAAGAAAAGCAAAAAGTTGCAGATAAAATTATATCTGATTTAGAGGTGATTAGAATTTTACACATTAGAAATTTATATATCACTCACAGATATAATAATATTCACTTTTCTTGGAGTAGTATATGGAGGCCCTGAAGAAAAAGAAAGATCAGAGCGTAAAGAAGGAGGACGCGAAAGATAAAGCTGTATCCAAACGTGGTACTCAGAAATTCTTCACCGTGAAACTGAGAGGTTTAGCATACAATCACAGGAAAAAAGACATCAAACAATTTTTCCGTCCACTGAAAGCGAAATCGATCAGAGTCCCGCAAAAAATCAGAGAAATAGCTTACGTTGGCTTTAAAACCGAGCAACAATTGAGAAAGGCATTATTGAAGAACAAGAGTTTCTTAGGTAATAACACGGTAATTGGTATAAACTGTAAATCAGGCGTTTTATTCTCCCAAATTTACCAATATCTGTCGATTTTTAGACGGCAGACAAATCTTCGTAATGAAGTACGATGAAAAAGAGAGAAACACGGACGTAGAACAGAACGGGACCGATACCAACGTTAGATGGAAGAAGCAAGAAGAGGCGTTGAAGGACGAGGAAAGCATAGCCGAGTCTGGACGGATGTTCCTTCGGAATCTGTCCTACACCACGACCGAGGATGATATCAGAAAATTATTCGAGCAATACGGTACATCATCCTGTTTCTTTCGTCCAAACCCAACTCTTGCTAACGTATCTCTTTCTCACAAATTAGGCCCGTTGACCGAGGTTAGCCTGCCAGTGGACAGAGTGACCAGGAAACCGAAGGGTTTCGGCACGGTGACATTTCTGATGACTGAACACGCGGTGAAAGCATACAGCGAGCTAGACGGTGCCGTTGTGGACGGCAGAATGTTGCATATTCTTCCTGGAAAAGCGAAACCCGATCCTATGGAACAGATCGACGAGAAAGGATTCTCCTACAAGGAGAAAAAGGAGCTGAAGGCGAGGGCGGCCGCTGGATCCTCCCACAACTGGAACACCCTGTTCCTTGGGCAGAACGCTGTGGCCGAAGCGATCGCGACTACCTACAACACGACCAAGGAGAAGGTCCTCGAGGATGGCTCGTCGAAAGGTTTAAGTGCCGCCGTGAAACTGGCGCTGGGAGAAACGCAATTGGTCCAAGACACCAGAAGCTTCTTGGAGGAGAACAGTGTGCGCTTGGACGCGTTCAATCAACCTACGGAGAAACGATCAAGAACCGTGATACTGGTGAAGAACTTGCCAGCCGCGACACCAGCCCACGATCTTCGCGAATTGTTCGGCCGACACGGGGAACTGGGAAGAGTGGTTTTGCCTCCGTCAGGGGTCACGGCTCTGGTGGAATTTTTAGAGCCTTCCGAGGCGCGCAACGCGTTCACCAGATTGGCATACATTAAATATAAACACTTGCCCTTGTATCTGGAATGGGCACCTGACAACAGTTTCACCACTCCCGCCGTGATGAGCAAAAATGTCGCGCCAACGGACAAGGGAAGGGAGCAAAAGGAATCGAAAGAGGCTGCAGAACCGAAAGAACAGGTGGAGGCTGTGAACAAAGGTAGTAAAGACAGCAAAGAGGAGAGCGAGGACGAGGAGGAAGCCGAAGAAGGTACCACACTGTTCGTGAAGAATATTAACTTCTCAACCACGGACGAGCAATTGAAAATGGTACCTATTTGAAGTTAATAAGAAACAGCTTACCTAGATAAATTAATAGGCTTTCCCTTCGAGCAGTGCGTGATACTCTTGGTGTTTCAGTATTTCAGCAAATGTGGTCCTATTCATTACGCCACCGTGGCGACGAAGAAGGACCCGAAGAATCCTAATGGGAAATTGTCCATGGGATACGGATTCGTGCGATACAAGAGGAAAGAGGATGCTGAACGCGCGTTGAAGGTCTTACAGATGACCGTGTTAGAGGGGAAGACGTTGGAGCTGAAACGTTCTGAACGGACATTAACGTATGCTTTCATCTTATGTTCCACGTGATCTTACACGTTACAATTTGAATAAAGGCTTGTCTTTTAAATAATTCCAATATAGATCCGACGTGAAGACCGCGAAGAAGACGTCCAAAGTGACTGCCCAGACAGGGACCAAGATTCTCATAAGGAACGTGCCGTTCCAGGCGACTACCCAGGAAATCACTGAACTGTTCAAGTACGTACTGAAAATTCCTCGAAAATTGCCAAGAAAAAGAATCATAAAATGTCTGAATCGGAAGATATTAAAATTTCACGGAAATTTCGATGTGCATCCACAGAGCGTTTGGTGATCTGAAAGCGGTAAGACTGCCAAGAAAGTTGGTCGGCGTCGAGAAGCACAGAGGATTCGGCTTCGTCGAGTTCTACACGAAAAGCGAGGCCAAGGTAGACACACGGATATGCTCGTCGAATAAATTACTTTTTATCGAATTAACGATCATCGATTAAACCCTCCCCTCCCTCTCCTTTTCGCAGAAAGCGTTCAAGGCCTTGGGTCAAAGCACTCACTTGTATGGTCGAAGGTTGGTGCTGGAGTGGGCGCAGACCGAGGAGGGCGTCGAGGAGATCAGAAAAAGAACTGCCAAACATTTTCACCAAGGTATGCGTTACACAATCCGTCAACCACCCACTCCCTAATTTCTTATTCGTATCGACAAACACGTTGGGATCTATTTTTTCCAGAGGAAACAGCGAAGAAGAGCAAGAAGGCTACGATAAGTCCCGAGGACGTCGGTTTAGAAGCGGAATGAACAACAAAAAAAGCAATCGAGCTTTTCAGTCGACGACGAGTTTATCGATAACAATCTATTATTTTCTATAGGAACACGGGTAAAAAAAAATTTCAAAAAAAAGACCATCGGTTGTAGCCCCCAAGTGGAAACCAGGGACTCTGCTCTGTTCGTCGATTGAAGGCTCCGTTGCACCTGTAACAATTTGTACATAGCACATACACGCGGGCAACTCGCCGAATAAACTACGAATTCATCGGACATCCGCGATTTTATCGCAACCCGTTTCCTTTCGATAGCTGGCATCGTGTCAAAACTTCGTGGAAAGCTAAAAGGACTCCATTATTGGTGCCTCGAAGGCGTGGTGGATCGACATTGACCTTCGCGTCACGTCGTTACTTGCTCTCTCTATCCGATTCCTTGTGGTTTTCTCGTAAACACTTTGGATATCTCGCAGTCGGACACGTCGTCCCGGTTACTAATGCCATGTATTTGGGTCCCAGTCGGAGCTGTTCGGTGAGGGCCCCGATGAATATCGACGGACGGGCTGCATTAATCGTCGACCCACGTTCCCGGCCGATTTAATTGCAGCCTCGAGACCGGCTGTTGCACCTCCTCCTCCTCCTTGTTTCGATGCAAGGAATGCGTCCCGACGATTCCAGTTTCACGCCCGGGCGTCACAGTCGCTTTCGGCTTTTTTTTTTCATCCTTTTTGGCATACCTTCCCTGTTCCCCGCTATCATTCATCAAACATTGTCCGATATTCCTTCTTTTACTTTCCTCGAATAACGCGTACAAGGAGGTTCTGTCTTCTCGTTGCTCGTCGAACGACCTCCGAGTTACTTTTTTTTAGGCTGTTACTAGGCAATCTGTTTTTCGTGAAAAGAAACCCTTCATTTGTTTGTAAGAAAATAGTACCAGCATAAAGTTTAAACAAAAAAAAAAATTGGTATGTGCTTTCAAAATGGCGGCGCAGACTGGTAAACATTTCAATGTTTTTCTGTGTGTTGTGTTTGTTAGATCTGTAGATTCTCGCTGAACTTAAAAAATCGAAAACCGAAACAAAATTGTTAAATTGCTGGCAATTCCCCGCAAAATTGTAGCCGAGTGCTTTTGTGACCAACTGTAAAATGTAAGTCGACGGTTATTTTAATATAAACTAAACGGCATTTTATTCGGATAGGATAGTACTTTCGCAAAATACGATAAAATAATATTTTGGGAAATACTCCAATGAATGTACTGAAATTGGGGACCATGTAAGCATAAATTTCAAAGTCCCTAGTTAAATCTTCCTCTACCCAGACAGCACATAACGCCTTAAAGCCGCCCATTTTACGGCTATTTTAGGTCTGATGTGCCTTTAAGCCGTCTGTGTATTATCTGGATATATCTCCTCGGATTCCCCTTCGCCGAAATCTCGTCAGGGTGGTCGAGACACCACCATTAGATACCTCCATCGAACCCCGGGTCATTTGCGCCCTATTTATAGACGAACCAACTATAACATAGAATAAAAAGAAAATCAAGGCGCGCCAGGATCATTTGCATACATTCCAGGACGTTCCTGCGACACAAACAGATCCGCGAACGGAGAAGAAATGCCTGAAAATATGACGGGCTCTCGCGTTATCAATATTGAAAGAAGCGAGCAGCAACGAGGTGGAGGGAAAGAAATGTTTTCCTTTCACCTAAGAGGGACCCGTAGGGAGGAGCTGGCTCGCGATGGGGGGCGTCCAAGGCGGCGAACGTGGAGGTGGAGACGACCCATGAAAGTAACAGTGCCTTCTCCACCTTCTGCCCGAGACTCAGTCCGTGTCTCCTTGCTCTCGGAGAACGGTCAACTCCCGCGAGATCTACCAAAGTGACCCCTGTGTTGTCATTGTTCGAGGCGCAAGGTCGCGCTAAGTGTGCAATCGGGGGAAAAATCCGCGTGCACGGTGAACACGAGAACGCTCATACTTATGTCCACCCTGGCATTGTGCGTTATGTGCTCGACCCGATAAGTCCAGCCCCGAGCGAAGAACAATCGACTGGATAGCACGGTGGAGCCACGAAAAATGGATTGGGTAAGTAGAGACAACGGATCTATCATTTCGAAGGTCGCTATCGAGTTTCGACGAGGTGTGCGTTAACGGACAGTATGCAGCAACGATATTTGGATTGGCCTTCGCGAAGTCTGGATCCGTTCCTTCGCGTCAGATCGATCCAAGATAGCACATGACGCGCAATGACGGCTTAAAGGCGCGTTAGACCTGAAATGGACGTCTTGAAGACGTTATGTGCTATCTAGAATAGGATCTCGAAATTAACGACAATACCGAGATAGCACATGTCGCCTCGAAGACGTTCATTTCACGGTTATTTTAGGTCTAAGGCGTCTTTAAGCCGTCTCCAAGGCGTCATTAGACGTCATGTGCTATTTGGGTAGGATCTCGAAGGTCGAAATTAATGACACTATGGAGCAACCCTTGGAGGATCCACGCGCTTGAGGATGAATGTCCTCCTCGCGAAGGCTAGAGCTTAGATCTCGCGATAACTCTCCATTACCATGTTTTTTCGAAGGTTGCTAATGAAAGTCAGAAAGATGATAACGGTGTGGGGCAATTACCTCGACGCTCGATACGCTCGAGGAGGATTCTCTTCGCCAAAGGTGGAGTTTGCTCGATTCAACTCTGTAAAGTTCTGATCACTTTCCTATGCTTCACCGGCTGGATCGTCCCCGTTTCGGGGTGTATCTCGGGGGATCGTTCGCGAACCGATAGCCGGCCGGGACGTGCGTTCGTTCGAACGTGTCGAGTGACACTCTTAGCTCGCGGATCGTCCAAGATAAACCAGAGAAACAGTAGTCTTCTGTGTATATGTGTCTTGAATGGTTCTTGCGAAATTCCTTTTGGGTCGTTGATCGATTCTACTTTCTCCGCGTGTCGTTCCGGTCACGAATGTACACTTTTAGACACGCGTGCGTGTCGAGTGGCAAAAAAGAAACGCGGGAACGCCGTCACGAGTATCCTGATCTGTTTTCTGTGGGGATGACAACGATGTATCGATATTTTCTGTCGATGTTTTTACCAACGATGATTGGAGATCGATAGCAACCATCCAAGTTTTCTTATGGATCCTAAGATAGCACATGACGCCTTGAAGACAGCTTAAAGACGACTTAAACCTAAGAAGTTATTCGTGAAAAACGATGTTAAACAAGCTGTTACTGTTAATCAGACCTACGAATAGGAACATATTGAATAAACCGAACTCTAAAATGAAAATATCGAAGAAATTCATTGAAAACCTTCAGGCTTTAAACAAATTTTTCAAAAGCATCGATATCTTACTACCGATGTATCGATTTACATCGATGGTAACTGATCGATCGCAGTCCTATCGATACATCGATGTTGTTTTTTTTTTTTCGTATTTTTCGTTCTTTTCGCCATTCCTACAGTGTCGGGTCTCCGAAGGCACGAAACTGGAACCGGTCGGATCGTTGGAGGGCGCGCGATCTGAATGCATATCGAGTATACGTATACACCTGGGAACGATCGTTCGGCTTCCTGTTGGCGGAGGAGGGAGGAGGAGGAGGAGGAAATCTACCGGTTATTCGAGACTTACCGCTGCGTTCGTTCGCAGCCTGCACGCGCGCGCTCCGTTTCGAGCCGTGACAAGCAAAGAAGGAGCGAACGCGTTTAGCAATTCGAGATTGCAAAACCGTCGAGGCCGCCTGACGGTTCTACGAGCGCAATGGGAACCCCGCCTGGTCCATCCTGTTTCGCGATTCCTCCCAAAAAAAAAAAAAAAACTTATTTCTGGGCCATAATAGTTAGGGAAGACCGGGGCAAAATCGGCGTTGGGGTAAAGTGAGCTTTTTTTTAATTATTCATTTGAAAATAGAATATATTTAAAAATTTTTCTAACATACCGAATTTGCATAATATAACGACAATAATTATGCACATTCAGGTAGTAAACAATCCAGATAGTATACGAGGCCTTAAAGACGTCCATTGTACGGCTATATTAGGTCTAAGGCGTCTTTAAAAAGTATTTAACTTTTTCAAGGAAGATAATTACAAACTTTACAACAAGAAGATTAACAATTTCTACAGTCGAGACTCGACGATCCAGAGGACGAAGAGATCGATGAAGGATCAGTCCACTTATCGTCTCGCCAGAAAGGTCAGCGGCTGACCTTCCTCGCTTCATCCGACGGGTTTTCCTTCTCCCGTCGTTGTTTTCTTCTCGGAGCTTTTTCCCTTTCTCCTCGATGCTCTCGTTCCAAGGTCGAGGGTCCTAAGGAACCTCGAAGATCACCAGCTTCGATAACACACCGCAGAGAAAAAGGTTTCTCGTTTCTTCTGCCCCCCATTGATCGAGCATAATTTATTCGTGTCGTCGGATTGTCTACGACGCGTGAAAGCTGGCGGATTCTAGACGGAACGGGAAAGACCAACGACGAATATTTTCTGCTCCCACTTGCTCGGACGTGGCACAATTTTTCAATCGATCGGGCTCGAGGTGTAATGGCTCTCGAGAAATGGCCCTGAGGCGGTCGAATTTCTAATTGTACAAACGCAATTGGCCTCGTCGGTATCAATTGAAGAACATTTGCAATTTTTCTTGATACTAGAAGACGAATAATTTTCCGTCCAAAATGGATGAACGACAAAGGAACGGAAATTTAAGGGAAACTGGGGCAAAGTGATTCTAAACATTACATTTCCAGATAGCACATAAAGGCGCCTCAGACCTAAAATAGCCCTAAAATGGGCATCTGGGTAGTATCCTTAATTCAAATAATACAGGAAATGCTTTTTGTCCGAAAACATTCGTCCAGTATATTTGCTCTATGTGTTTCCTTCTACTCCTGAGCACCTGGAATTTCTCCAGTTGAGTCACCCGTGGAGGACCTTTAGAGATCGTACAGCCAGGATTTGCATTCCTAACAGACATGTACATATCTCCTCCGGTTGATCCTACTTTACGGCCCCGCTACGATTTGCATTTTCGACCGTTCTCGAGGTTTCGAGTCGGATTCCACTTGGATCTGAAGACGAAAACGAAAAATCTCGAATAGAGTGACATGATTCGCAGTCCCAGGAGGGAAGACACATCTCGAGGAAGAGGAAATCACGCGAAAGAAACTGTAGAAAGGGAAAAAGAAAAAGGAAATACGATCGACACAGGGCCCATTATCAACAGACGGTCGCCGCGACGGCTCCTCGA